CGCCTGAGTGAATTCGCTGATCTTTCAGCTTCCCTCGGGGTCACTCTCTTTTTGTCCCGTAATCGGGGAATCTTATTTCTTTCAACCGTAAGCAGTTGTTAACTGACTTTAAGCACGCTTTTGTTCCCTTCTTAAAAGGGTTCTAGTGCATTGATTATTATTTTTTATTTAATTTTAGCTTAATCTCGCTATGAGAATTAATACTATTTTTCATTAGTTGACATAACACTTGAAGCTAAAGTAATCATTTTGTATTTATAAAAGTTTCTCCTCAGAGGCATTGCTGCCGTGTCTCTTTAAATCAAACTCGCATAACGAGTTCCCGCTTCTCTTCTCCTCCCAGACGCGAAGCACTTGCGACATGAAGTTTTTCGCGAGTGTTTCCGCTTTCGTGTTGTTAACATCACATGACCATTGATCAAGGAAACGTCGATGCTTGTCAAAATTCATGATGTAACCCCCTCAAATTGATTCTGGCCCTTTTTCGACACAAAAAATTTACTAAATTAAGTCCTTCAGTGCTTTTACTTTTTTTTCACTGTGGAAGGAAACTCTTTTGTTAAATTTAACATTTGGCACTAAATTTTACCTCTTTGCGGAACTCTCTTTTTGACGATAAAAATAATTCTTTGATGATGTGGGGATAAAGGCAATAAGTCTAAAAGTGCCTCGTAATACAACCCTTCCTTAGTCCTTGGCTCATCATAGGCTGATCTACTTGGATCTCTCCTGATTTCGGATGCCTACCAGCACGCAATTTTTTTTTACCATCTTTGAATATTTCTTGAGTGAAATATTTAAATGATTTCTTGCCGTTATCCCACTTACATATTCCAGCGGAGTAACTCGAAAAATATGAAAGACTTATCGCACGCAACACAGAAATTCTTTTCTCAGCTAAGAACTTATTCATGTTGTGGTACCTGAAAGTTATGGGTGCGCCACGTTGTTCTACTCAGGATGTGCCTTAGCCCAGGGGTCTGATACAAGTGACGCAATTGCACCTGAGTCTTCGGCCGTACTAGTGAGCATTGGTAAGGATATGAAGCATAACATGCTGGAATACCTGGAGTTTCTTGACTGTGGTCGACCAAATAGATGCGGTATATGTGAGAATTAGAAGGATGGTGCTTGAATGAAGGAGGAGTTTGTTTTTGAGAGAGGTGGCTGGTTCTGGAGATAAGTTGCATTTGGAAATTTCTAGTTGTTCTTGCTTTAGATATTGTATAAGAGATATGAACACTTCCAGAGTAGCTTCGCAAAAGTTCAGATACCATTAAAATTTCGACATGAACAAGGGTTAAATTCACTCAATACAAACAGTTCGACATGGTTTTCACCATATGTGACGTGAACAGAAGTCAGTTTGACTTAGAAAGTTCACGAAGAACTGCTGAGTCCTTCTCTCAGCAGAATGTCCTAGTGTGCTTTGACATAATGAAATAACCTATCCACTGAAGTTTCAACAATCGCATTAATTTTTTAATGAAAAAATACAATTAATCTTTATAAAATTTTCAGTCAAAACGCTAGGCTATTTCTTAGGTAAACATTATTATAAAAAGAAAGGGGTCTGAGAGATTGAATGTCTCATCCTTAGGGGCGGGACGAAATGGAATGCAACTGATAATCCAATTCACATTTTAAGAGTTAAATCAATTATTTAGAGCTAGGCTTTAATCCCAGAATGCTAGTTCTTAAATTAATTTGTATGTATTTTTATGTAAAATCCTGAAAATTAATTCTTTGATTCTTGAAAAACATATGTATGAGCTTCTTTCTTTTGAAAGTGTTAGAGGAAGGCATTCTTCTTCTTAGGCAGATAGACCTCATGTGCTTTGCAAATTCAAACAAATCTTTCTCGAATAACAATGTGTATAGCATACCCTGTCTCGTTTCACATATCTTATTGTGAAGGAGTTGATAAAGAGCAATGGATTTATTTTTTAAATTAATGCTTTTTTCTTACATTGTTGTACTCGCAAACACCATTAGAATTCTTTGAGTTTGGTATACATCGACTAAAACCAATCAACAATTATAAAAGGGAGAAGGAGGAAAGGAAACCAGAAGTAAATGTTTGGTTTTCTGCCTGAAAACAGAATGCTCAGTTGCATTTAATTTTAAATTTCAACATCAAAGAAACAAATTTTTCTGAGTATACAGCAAGAGAAATAAAAGCTCTTATTTATATTTATATCATACCTGCCAACCTCTAAAGATAAAAATCCAGAAGAACACGAAGAATTAATATCATGCTTTGATATTTAAAAAAAAAAAAAAAAAAAATTATACGAATAGAAAAAAGAAAATTGTACTTACATTAGTAAATCTCAATTAAGTAGTAACTAAAAAATTTATTAGGAAACATAAAACAAGAACTTAATGTTACACAAAAAAAATTTGCAATGAATTTAGAGAGCATTTTTTGGCTTTAAGCCAAAAATTCTTTGGAAACAATTAGTTTTCCTCATAACATTTAGCAATTAAAATGTTTTCTAGAGTTTTGGTGAAATTGAAGAACGAAACATAGTTTTGTTTTTCTTCACAACACTGAAGACTCTCTCGCACTCAGCATTACTGTGTGAAATTACGAGAATAGCACATAAAGCTCTTGCTAGTCTATCATATTTTGGTGTTCCATCAGCTCTTTTTATTCTTTTAGGTACCAACGAGGACATCAAGTCTATCTTCTCCAGAACTGGCAAAGTCTTCAAACTGTGCAGCAGAAAATTGGTTCTGTAGTTAATCTAAAGCACCATTATGTCATTCATTTTCTTTAATTGTTAACAAAAAATGGAAATTTATCAATAAAAAACGAATCTTTTCAAAAGATGAATTTTCAATTTGTTTCAAATTTGCCACTTCAGCATTTAAAAGAACTTCATTTTGCAAAGGAAACTTCCTTACAATGTAATCACAGGCTGAGGAAAAGTACTTTCTGACACATTGAAAAAATTATTTTTTCTCATGATCTTTCAAAGAATTTACAAGTTCCCTGGTTTGATATTTCTGAGCAATCTTGGAGTCGGGAAACATCCGTCTGAAAAGTTGACCGGCGCAGCGCTTAGCGGCACGTTGTGTTCGATGAGGAATGCAGTAAACAATCACTCTGCCAAAATGACATCGGCATCCGAATTCGTAGCCGAATTTGAAAAAAAAATATAAAAAAATAATAATAAAAAAAAAATCATCCACTTTGACGTTGTCGAAGCCGAAGCATTAACTTCATGCTTTTTAGACTTAACATGCTTCACAATGTCGCTTCTTCCACCGTGACTTATTATGAAGTCACACACGCACACGTTGCAAAATGCAGTTATTTCCTTTGAAGGATTCTTTAATTGTTGGAAATTCGGCTTTGTAGTCAGCCGAAAATATTGAGAATACGGTTTTTTTGAACTCATTTCGTAACAACGACGTATTAAGAAAATTTGTAGCACGTGCAAAAAACAGAAAAAAACAGAATGCGACAATCCACGCTCGCCGAATCCGAGCTGAGTAATTCTACAAGTTCAGTGCATGGGATTGGCTGGTTTAGCGGCAAGTTGGGAGAAACCGCAGGTTACTGGATTCGAAGTAGTCGGTAGTTGGCGGTAAAACACAATGCAATTGGCGAAAATCGCTGAATTGGCGAAAAATTCTAAAATTTCGACAAAAATCACTAAAAACACTTGAAAAAGGAAAAAAATCGTAAAAAATGGATTACGATCGTAAAATCGTAAAGACAAACGCATTTTCGTAAAAATTACTGCACAGCTGGCAGGTATGTTTATATGCAACTACATTAATTACCCCAAAAATGCGAAACTCTGATTAATTTACTTCAAACACTTCTTTTCCCGAAATCTTTTAAAATGATGCAAATAAAGAATTTTCATTCTTGGTATATAAATACTTTATTGTGGCTCTCGAAGCTTCCTAAATCCTATCTTGTGGCTTCTACTACCCTGAAGTTTGGCCACCTAATGTTATATATTTGCTATTCCTGTTATAACTGCTTTTGCGTTACTAATTTATAAGCATTTATAGCACTCATTAATTTAAAATTCTTTTTTTCATTCACACATAGAAACTGTTTATTTTTAAATCATTATTCAAAATACTTAAAAATTAAGTTTAATTTTTTCCTAAATTTTATTCTGTTATCAGAGTGTTACTTACTACATGTTTATAGATAATTCACAGCTTTCTTAATCCGCAAATATACAACAATTTTGTTTTTGCATTTTTCTCTATACACACAACACAGTCTCTAACACAGCAAAATTTCCAAGATCCAGAATCATCAAGAATTTGGTGATTTCAGACTCTAGATCATCAGTTTAAATCTAGTAAGATGACATGTAGGCAGGGCAACATTAGAGCTTCACTTATTGCTTAGGTGAGCTAGAAAGATGCAACCTCCTCTGCCCTCCTCCAGCATGTGTCATAATTTACGAGCAGTTACAATTTTAGAATTTAAAAGAGTACCAAGCAGCAAAAATTATAGAGACTGCAGAACTTTTTAAAATTTGGGAGAGTCACTGGACAGTAGAACTTAAGGGCGAAACCTTTTAGAATTTAAACAGATACCAAACAGCAGTTTTGAAGGCCTTTAGTCCCCCCAAACTGCTGTTTGGTATCTGTTTCAATGGCAAAATGCCCCTTCAATGGTATACCCTTCAATGGCAAAATGCATAGTGTAGGCCCTGCCCTGTGAAACTGCCATTTATGCTAAAATTTATTATGCTATTTATGCCATTTATGCTTCGATGCTAAAATTTTTGACATTGTGCAGCATTAAGAAACTTAAAGAGATTAAAGGCAGAATGCAAAGCAATAATCTTTATTACGGATATTTTTTCTTTTATGTAATATTACCTGCTCAGACGGCAAAAATTATCTAGAAATGTGTGTTTCATATTATTATAATGACCTTTTCACAGATGTGAAACTCATTTTGCATTTTTAATAAAATTTCAATAATTAATAGACATTTTTATAACAGAGGTTATTAATTACTCCGAATTTGAAAATTTTTTATTTAAAAACACATTAAAAATATGTAAAATAATGAAAAAAAAAAAAAACACTTATTTACAAAATACAAATTATTCCATTCAAAGTGAATGACTTTCAAAATTGACAAAATTGTCCATATAAAATCTATGCATAAAATCATGCCATGTAGTGGAAAACTCTTATGTCATCATCATCTCGTTTCATATACTTGTGCTCAATAAGCCATTCTATCTGCTCTTTCATCATTTTTCTGGATGGCAAAAATAAGTTTTTCAAAATTTCTACAAGTTCAGTTTGTAACTGTGCATTTGTCACTCTTTTCCTCATTTTCAATATTTTCACTATTGCTTCCTGTGAAAGACAAAAAAATGTTACAATGAAATGCTTAAATAAAAGAATACAGAATAGATGGATTGTTGCTTTATTATAGGAATGCATATCCTGTGGCCAGCAATCAATCAAGAATATTAGCAACTAGCTGTCAACCAAATATATGAAAAATTATTTATAAAATTCAGTCTCAAACATCACACTAATGTATTTAGCTACAGCTAACTTTTACACAGTTTTAGTAAAATATTTATAGATTATCATATGCAAACATAAACTGTATTTTTTTTTTCCAAGCTGAACTGGGTGTGTTGGCCCCAGTAGCCATTGCAAGGGGAAAGGGAACCCCCTTCCTCCTTACTTACATATATAATGATCTCCAAATTGTTTTAAATTTGATATGGTACATGTCTGAATTGCAAATTAAGCAACTTCTTGCAATGCCCCCCTAAATTTTTTGCATATGCTATTGGCCCTCGGCAACCAAGTCATTTCTGTGAGTGGCCCTTCTGCTAAAATGGGTGTGCACGCCTACTTTATTATAATAACAGTTTAAATTACATACCCTAAAGAGAGAAAGTTAATTTTTTTAACTAAGATAATTCTTAGCAATATCTTATTTAAAATAAAATAAAGGGCAACTGCAGAAGAAGATATTCAGAATTTAAAACAGCAGTAAAATTTTTAATGCAGAAATGGCACATGGGTACTTGAGTATTATCACAAACACCTTAGAAGAAAATGACAAATTTTTCCAGAAAGGGCTAGACACTGGCCAACCATGCACATAATTATTCTTCAGGCAACCATATTCATAACTATTCTTCAGTCAAGCATCATCGCCATTCATGTAGTTTTTTTATTGTATTCGAATTGACAATGCTTTTGTAGACAAACAGTAATATTTTTTTGCCTTGAAGTCAGTTTTAAGATATAGACACTGGTTATCATAAATTAAGGAAAAATCACAAAAATAGCGATAACACCCTCAAAAATAAGCCAAACCGCGTAAAATTTGAATATGTTGCCAAGTAAGAGTAGCTGAGTAAAACTCCAATATGCAAATTAGTGGTGCTGCACTCGGAATACGTCATCTGCGAGGAGCATAAAAGTCCATGTTTGAGAGCAAGACCACATATTTCACTGTGATTATATAGATTATCATTTATAGATTAGTGACATCTGAAATCTGAGATAGCCAATTTGTAACAATGATCTCCAGGCATCATTTGCCTACAGAACTATGATAGAAAGCCATTGGGAGACTAGAGGCAGGACAAAAGTCAAACAGAAGTGGCCAGATATCTAAATGTGAGTCCTTTTGTGGTTCATAGACTTTGGAGGCAATTTCAAATCACAGATTCGGCACCTAGGAGGTTCAGCCAAGGACGGCCAACTGCTATGACGAGCGCTGATGACAGATATTTGACATTATGTGCACTCAGGAATAGAACCGCTACTCCGACTCTTCTTAGATCCTTCCTTGCTGCAGCTAACGTAAGGTTGGTGTCAATGTCAACTGTGCCTAGAAGGCTTCACGAAGGTGGTCTGTATGTGAGGTGAACAACCATTTGCGTGTCGCTCAAGTCACGCCATAGGAGGAACCATTTGCAGTGGGCACGACAACATGTCCACTGGACGCCTGAGCAATGGAGGGCTGTTTTCTTTATGGATGAGTTCAGGTTTTGTCTAGAATGCAATAGTAGACGTTATTTCATATGAGAGAACCTGGAACCCGTTATCATCCGTCAAACATCCGTGAAAGAGATGCATACAGAAGAGGCAGTGTCTATGTTTGGGGTGGCATCTCTTTAGGTAGACGCACAGACCTCCATGTTTTTCCAAGGGGAACCATGAATACTCATGTTTATAGAGATGATATCCTTGATGCTTATGTGCGCCCATATGCCGGAGCAATAGGTGATGCTTTCTGTTACAGGACGACAATACAAGACCACACAGGCCTCGTATTGTATATGATTATCTTCAACAGGAAACAATTATGTGCATGGAGTGGCCAGCTCGATCCCTGGACTTGAATCCTATCGAGCACGTTTGGATGCTTTTAGGAGACTCTAGCTCTCTCAATCCACCCCTTAGACCATGCCATGCTTGCAACTGCTTTGCAAGAGCAATGGCTCTCGCTTCCTTTGGAACTGATAGACCGCATAATTGAAAGCATCACACATCGCTGAATGTGCTGTATTGCTTCTAGAGGTGATTATATTCCATACTGAAGGTACTTTTACTATAGCACTGACATTTTCGATTTTTTCATTTTATACATGTGCTAATTTCTATACTACCATAATTGTCTGCTAATTTCTTTTTATGTTATTTGATACCTTACTACGTGTTGTTTATTGTGGATAAGTTTCATAAAATTCTACATGTAACTTTTTTAGTAATTGTGATTTTTGTGATTTTTTCCTTAATTTATGATAACCAGTGTACTTGTAGTTAAGAAAAACGGAAAAAATTGTGTCAAAATTTTTGCAGGAAAGCAAGATTTTGCCACATGGTCCCTAAAAGGAACAAACATGACAAGCATTTGATAGATAGTCAGTGTGTACTGCCAATATTACACATGATGCCAAGTTTGTGCAATTCTTTGGAATTTCTTAAAGAAAAATTAGGTTGCTGTCCACATGGAACAAAAGCACAAAGAACAACATCACAGAAAATTACGTATAAATTTCACAAAAATGAAAATGTTTGATCTTTTTAATGCACTACGTAATCCTTATTTAATAATTAAAATCTGTTTTTTAAATTGCTAAAATGTGTGTTTTGTTTATATGTTGATAACATCTACCAATTTATGGTAAACATTGATAGTCTGATAATTGTTTTTAAAAAGTCATAAAAAGCAACAAGTAACTCATATCTTTTCATCTATAAAATGTCGCCAGACTGCACCATGGTGGTTCCATTAATACATAAGTGCTGGCATGTAGCAGGTCAGCCAAAAGTTTGTTAAAACTTTTAAAATTCATAAAAAAGGAAGACAGTATGTTAAAGAAGTGCAGTTTGCTAGAAAGGGCTGACAAGGAAGTCGTACTTTTTTAGCAGCAAAAACAATTGTTAGTTTTAAATGTCACCAGTAGAGAGTGCTGATGACCCGAAACATAATGAACAAGCCAACAGACACTCCATTCATTTATTCTTTTAATAACAATTGTTCAACTTGACCTCCAGAACATTGTATGACACAACTAAGGCGATTTGCAACTCCTGTTACAGCTGAATGCAACATATTGGAATGAATTGCAAAAACCTTACAACAGATAGAATCTTTGAGTTCAAACAGTGTTAAAGGGAATGAATAGAACACAAATGATTTCATAGCCCCACTACCAGATGTTGACCAGAGTGAGGTCGTGTGATCATGGAAGCCATGGGATCTTGTCACCTAAACTGATCACTCTGTTTTCACCAAAGGTACTCAATGGGAATCGTTTTACTAGACTGGCAATGCACCATCCAGCATAAAGCTTATTACAGATAACACACCTCTTTGATTTAATGTGGGAACGACTTTCACACAAAAGAGTTAGATAATGCTGAGCAACTACTGTGCATGTTTCCAGCCAGATATGGGACATGCCTCTTCCAAAAAGACTATTCTTTTTGGAAGAGGCATGATGAATGAAAGATGAAGTGAAGCCACACCAGACTGTCAACTTGGCTGGATGCAGGGACTTCATTGTGTACTCATGAGGATTCGACATTGCCCATATACAAGTGTTCTGGGTGTTGACATCCCCCATGTAGTATGAAATGTTTCTCGTCCATCCATAAAATGTGGAACAATCACTACGGTCGCTTTCAATTTTTGCCATAGCCCACTTGGCAAATGAATCATAGCTGTGTCTCCCAGTTGTAACTCATGCAGTGATTGAAATTAATAGGAATAGAGATGCAATATCCCATGGAGAATACATCAAATCAATGAGTGAGGCACATCCAATATCCTTCAAGCTATGCAAGTCCTGCTATCCCCCATCGACAATTCCTCTGCTGTATCATTTATAGTGGTTTCCACTGCAGTAATTGGCCCTTCACAGGGACTTCCACTTCATGGCCAATCATCCAAAGAGCCAGTTTCTTCGAACCGTCAGTGTTCCAGAACAAGGTATGGTGCCATTCTTTGTCTTCAGTACTTTTGCTGGGACACAAGTTTCACAACACAACAGTTGCTGATTATCCATTCAAATAGAACAACTTTACCAACAACACTCGATTGGGTAATAATAATATTTTGGAAGCGAATGAGAAATCCTCGTGTATCACAGTTTTTTATTAAGAGATTAATTTGCATAATTCTGCTGGGTCTCTCACATGTCAGCCCCCTTTACCGGTGACATTTTAAACTAAAATCTTTTTGCTGCTAAAAAAATCAGACTTCTTTGTGAGTCCTTTCTTGCAAACTGCAAGTCTTTATCATAATTTTTTTGTTTTTAGAAATTTTTTAAGTTTTAATGAACCTTTGGCTCACCCTGCATAAGTAGCCTCATGATTTCTAATTATATACAACCAAAAATTGTGAAAACCTATATATTGCAGAGGTATTTACACATCTTCAGAATGATTTTGATAAAGAAATAAAAAAAGAGCTAATATTCTAAAATAAAAATTTCTAGCACCAGCTTATTATTTAAAATGCAGAATATCGTCTGTTACTTTTAAATTTATTCTTCTTTCAAAATGTTGCTTGCAAAAAAGCTGTGGAATGAAGGATAAGTTTTTGTGCTTTCCAAAAGGAAATATTCCTATTCATACTTCAAAAACATAGTGAAATGCAAGGTATTAAATTTTTTAAGTACAAAATAAGCATCATTATTAGAAAGGGGAAAACTGTCCACCATTACTTCAACAGGGAAAGAAGGCTATAAATGCTCACCTGAAAAAAGTAATTACTGTTTCTAAAATTAAATCATTGGCAAGAAAATTCACTGACCCAGAAATCAATTGCAAAGTCTTTAAATACATCTGGTGGCAACAATAAATAAAATAATAAACCAAGATTTACAACTTAAAAAAGCTAAAAAACATTGTTCACCAGCTTTTGGCAAAACATGTGGCTCTACACAGAACAATTTGTAGAACTCTGTATGAAAACTATTTAGCAAGAGATAAATGGAAATATATTGTGACTCTTGATGAAGTACAGGTATACAGGGTTATCCAAATTAAACTTCCCCAACTCAGAGGCCTGTGCAGAGTGTTGTATGTGTCATAATGTGATGAAATTTTAAAAACAGACACTTCAGATCATGCGCTCGAGATTTATTAAACAAAAAAATTAGTACAAGAAGTTGCCGATAGGTGGCGCTGCAGATAAACAAGATATTCTACACATGTTTTATATGTGTGCCGTGGTTCTCCAGAACTCTTTCCATTCGCAAAGCAGTGTGTTCCACAGCAGAACGCAGTAAGTCCACATTAATTCCTCGAACATGTCAAATAATTGCGTGTTTCAGGTGTGCCAAGGTTCCTGGGTGTTCTCGGTAGATCCGATCCTTTAAAAATCCCCATAACCAAAAGTCGCATGGCGTGAGATTAGGCGAGCGGGGAAGCCCACTTGGCAAAGCAAGCTGTAGGGAAACAGCGGCTGATCACACGTGCATCGGTAAAAGTTGCCCGTAACACCTGTTGAACACCACGAAGAATATGGGGCTGCACATCCTGCATAAATATCGTGTCCTGGAGGCGGCCACGTTGTTGCAGTTCAGGGATCACAAACATTGTCAACATGTCCTCATACCGTTTTCCTGTGACAGAGCAGGTTTTGAACCCTGTTGGAGTCATCTCTTCAAAAAAATAAGGCCCAATGATGAATGTTGCAGTGAAACCGCACCATGCAATACGCTTTGGAGGGTTCAAGGTCATTTGATGGATTGCGCGTGGGTTTTCACTTGCCCAAATGCAGCAGTTCGTATTCACTCGACCATTCAGGTGAAAATGGGCCTCATCTGTCCAAAGGATGTTCCACGGCCAAGCAGCATCGACTTCCATTCTGGCAAGGAACTGCAACGCAAATGTTTCCCGAACTACAGGATCCCCGTCGGACAGCTGATGACGACTATGAATTTTGTAAGGAAAATAATCGAGGATTCGACGCATCACACACCAGACGGTCGTATAGGGCATATCAACAGCACGAGAAACAGTTGGCACACTGACAACACCATGTGGCGATTGGCTAGTGGGGTCCACGACCGCCAAAGCAACGTCTTCTACGCGTGCAGATTCCACTACCTGTCGTCCTCTACCTGGTAAAATTCACAGCTGTCCCGTTCTTTCGAACTTCTTTATCATGTCTCGTAGAGCACGTGGTGTCATTGGTCCTCGGCGTAAGATCTTCAACCGATGGAATGCTCTTATCGCAGCACAGTTCTCATCATTCTAGTAGAAAAGTTTCACTAACAAAGCTTTGTCTTTCAAAGTCGCCATTGTGCATCAGCGAGCTGGAAACAACTGCCTGTGCAAGGCCTGTCTTCTACTTTTGTAGGGCTCGTCTTTTGGATGCGTTGCGCAGAAGCTTTATTTCTGCAAATCATGTTGCTGCAATATGCACATTACTAGTGTTACAGCACCATCTATCAACAACTTCTTGTACTAATTTTTTTTTTCTGTAATAAATCTCGAGCGCATGATCTGAAGTGTCTGTTTTTAAAATTTCATCACATTATGACGCATACAACACTGTGCACAGGCCTCTGAGTTGGGGAAGTTTAATTTGGATAACCCTGTACTTAAATGTCTTCAATAAAAAATTATATATTTATTATTAAAAAAAAAGAAAAAAAAATTTACAGATCTGGTTCCATTGATGCAAAGAAAATTTCATTAAGAGGATTATGATTGTCGCATTGGTTTCATGGTCTCATACAGCAGAAAATTAAAAATAAGAAGATTTTAAAAAAATGCTAAAATCAAATCGTTGGACTTTCAAGGGAAAATTTTATGGCTGATATTCACAAAAGTAATCTGATTTGTTTATCCACTTTGGAAGCCACTGGGCTTCCAAAGAGTAAAAACTTCATCAAGATGAAGCAACAAGTTATACTTTGAAAAGTACCATTGCATACCTTGAAAAAATAAAAACTGATACAGGATTGCATATATTCTTTTCCAGTGTATTCCACCAATCTCAGTGTATTCAGAACATTACCCTTATGGAATATTGTGCTTTTGTCCTTTTGAAAAGTGCAATTTCTAAGTGAAAACACACCATGATAGATGGACTCTGGAGATTAGTGGGAAAAGATTGGAAATCAATAAACCAGGAAATTTTATTAAAAGCTCTTCATAATAGAAATAGTCTTTACATTCCAGAAAAGGGGTCGTCAGCTTAAACACCTTAAAAAAATATTTTTTTTATTTTAAACCCTAATTAAACGACCCCACAATCTTTTAAAACTCTGCAAACACTATCTGTAGAAAATAATAGTAACCAAAAAATCTATAAATATTACCCTGATCTCAGATTCAATAGTTTAATATAAAATTATAAGATACTTGCAAATGAAAACTGTACTAACCTGAGTTCTAAGTATTCGCAGATGTACTATGCATTCATTGTCTTCTTGCTTACTTTTTTCAGTTGACAACTGAAGTCTTCCTATTAAATTAATCTTGCCTCTTGTCTGAGGTTTGTTATTCTTTCTGCAAAATATATTACTTGTAACTTACAGTATAAAACACTAACATATATAATCAGATAATCAGCTATTTTAAAGTACATCTGCTGACAGAGCACATTTTAAGGATATATTAAAAAAACTAATTTTCCGCTTTGTACTGTAGCATATTAAGTTGCCAATAATTCTAGTATATATAAAAATAATAAAAATGCAGTAAACAAGGATTCAACATACAAACAAAAAACTTAGCAAGAGCCAGAGCCACATACAAAAATTCTGAAATTCAAGATCTGCAACTAGGCATTTAAGCCCTCCGGCACGCTACCTTTTAAATTTTGGAGTTTGTTATATATATATATATATATAATATAAGGTAGGCAGTCTAATTAGGCCTGGAGGAGCACACAAGTAAAATTTTGTGAAGATAGCACTTATCGTTTAATTCTGTGGGTGTGCCCAAAATTGGCACACTGATTGAATAGAGCTTTGAAAAGAGTGCTGAAACGAGCATTGTTGTCAATGAACTGACCGATGAAATGTGGAGAAACAAAGAATACAAACTCTCAGTTGTTCTACATTATCAGTGTGTCCGATTTGGGCACACCTAGGATTCACCGTTTGATTTTAGGCAAGATTTCAAGGTAAAAAATTAAAACTAATATAGAATAAGGAGATTAGCATACAGCCAGAAAAATAACATTTCTTTTCAAACAATTTCTTTTCAGTGGCGGCTCATAATAAGCACTGTGGAACTGCAGCACCCCCAATTTCCACTTATTATTATTTTTAATATTTAATATAGTGTGCCCTTTAGTCTTTAATTCTTTCTTTACACTTTTACAATACATATCCTTAAGCTTTATGTCAGTAGCCATCCCCCACTTTGTCAAAAAGGACGAAGTCTTGGAACTGCATGCTTACAGTTCCACGATGTGGTGTTTGGCTGTTTTGCGCATGCGCACCAGGAAGCAGCACGCGAACCGGGCAGAGAGAAGAGCACTGTCACTCTTGCAATGCCGAAATTCTGGCATGTTGTTCGAAAAGTGATTTCTTTTTACTCCACACGTGTGGTATTCCTCCACAAGGTGGAACTTCATCATACAGACCATAAACAGAGTTCATGAAAATTTGCAACCTTTTAAAAAATTGCCTTAGTGAAATTCAATCAACATCAAATGCAGAACAACAAATGAAACAACTGTTCCTATTGCAAAAGCAATAGGAATTTAAAAATATCTAAATGATGATAATTTCAAGTTTTGGTTAGAGCTTTTTTAACAGATGCCTCACGTTGAAATAATATACAACTAAATGCAATCCAGAGAAATTAGTGTGTTAAAAGTTAACACATATATAAAAAATTTCAAAACTGATATTTAGAATTAAGAAACTCAAAGTACTGTGAGAATTTTCGAAAGATACCGATGGCAGAAGAATAGAAGAAGGAAATATGTGACTTTATACTATATATTGATATAATGCAGAAATATTCTTCTACTAAACACTTAGCAGCTGCTTAAATTGTTAAACAAAAAATGCTTTCGCTAGTTTTATTAATGAACATTCTACAGAAGAAATAGTACTGACAGCTGAAGTGTATATCCAATGACTGGACAAATAATAGCTTGAAACTGAACTAAAAATATTCTACTTGTAGGTCTGATATCCATGAATACTGCAAATTAATTGAGCTACTGAAATTTATCTTCAAAAATAAACTAGATGATATTCTTAGTGGAATTACGAAATTGATCAAAATTCTCTTAAGAGTTCCCATGACTACATCAGAGGCAGAACACTGCTTTTCAACATTAAAAAGAATGAAAACATTTTTAAGAAGCACTAGAATTCGGAAAGACTAAATGCACTTGCATTGCTTTCAATAAAGAAAAATTTCCTCAGTTGTCATCCAGAGATCAAAGAGAAAATTATTGACTGTTTCGTGCAAAGTAAAACAAGAAGAATGGAGTTCATTTTTAAATTAATAAACAAAGAGTGAACTGTACAAATTTTGGTTAAAGTAATTAAGAAATGCTTAATTATTTTATTGTAAGATTTCCTGTTTCAAAATAAATTTTCTTTTTATACATGATTGTTTCCTTTCAGACAATTTTAAAACAAAGGTTAATTTTTTTTTTTTTTTTTTTTTTTTTTGGAACAGCATCCCCACTAATTTTAGCCACTATCCCTTTTATACCCTAAAAAAAAATCTGGAAGATTTCTTTGAAAAATGAGGGTCTTAAAAAACTAAACATGGCTAAAATATATGGACTTTTGTCTACTATAAATAAAGAAGGTTCAGAGTAATCTATAAATCCTTTTTCATTCAATTTTTCTGTGCGTACAGAAGGAAATTTTAGGTGTGTCCAGACCGGACACACTGTGCCGCAAAGGGTTAAATAATTTTAAATGAAGTATAGTTTTTGAATAGAATGATGCATTTAAATTAAATTAACAGAGGTTTCTATTTCTGTTATTATGGCATTTATTTATAATAAGTAATTCTTGTTATTCTTACTCTACATCTTTCTAATAATATTCTTATTTATTTGGTTCAAACCAAAAATCATGCATTTTCATCTAACTATAATCATTATTCTATCTGAACAGAAGTAAATTTAAATTGATTAAAAAAAAAAAAACTGTTTTTATGATAGAGCAGTGTTTCCCAAACTTTTCTCATTATGGAATAATTTTTTAGTTTTAAAAATTTAAGGAACTCTGAGGTAAATGTGGGTTTTTTAGTTAATAATAAATGATCACACATATATATATTAGGTAAACAAAAGAAACATTTATTCCCATTTTTATATCATACTTATGAACAAAATGAATCTCACTCTTAAATTTTACAAAAAATCAACATATTAATTAAATAAAAGCAAATAGTATTTATTATTATTATTCATTCTATTTTTGTATTTTATTGCAATTTAAAGTTATAACCCTGTCTTGCACAAATATTCTGCAACAAAACGAAGTAAAATTTGTTTTTTCCCCTTTAAATTTCTCTGAAGAATTGTTTAAAATTATGTTAAATAACATTTCTGAATAACAGGGGTGTTTGTGGGACCCCAAAAAATCCCCTGAAACTTTTATGGACTTACTACCGACATTTTGGAGTTTCGAGAAGGAAGGGGGAGAGAAATGAAAAATTACAATTATGAAGTATTGAATGACCTAATTATAAAAGTTCAATGAATTGCTTTTTTTGCAAAAATTAATAACCATAAATTTTCAAACATATAAACTACTACATTTTATGTAAATATTTTAAATTACCTGAATTAATTCTTTAAAAAAAAATTATCTAATTTCTGCTGCTTTTTTTTTTATTTTCTGATGTTTGTGGGCTTGTCTTTCTTTTGTGGTGAACTTCATAATTGCAGGAAGGTTGACTTTTATTTTTCATTTACAGTTGAAGAAATTTCCTCGAGAACTGCACATGCAGAGGTAGAAGCAGTTTGCTTTTCTGCTAATGTAGAAGGTTTTTTCAGAGACTTTTATAGGTGACTCATCTGAAATACATGTTTTTTAAGTCCTCTTGATATGTTTTTCCAACTTCTGTTCATATTCAGTAAGAGATCTTTGTGAATTGGATCAGTCATTGGATTTTTTGAGCCATATTTTTCACATGAGGTTTCTTTAGAAGCCATTAAATCATATTTAATAGTCTGCACTGCATCTAGGGAATCAATCTTAAGAGAGGTTCTATAGTCAGTGACAAGTGTATCCATTAAGTTGAATGCACTTTCCACTAATGGGCCATGGAAGCAGCTAAGGCAGGCTTTGACCAATTTAGCCAATGTAGGATACTTATAATCATTTGTGAAATCATCTTTTAAATTAAAAACTTTAGACCAATATTTATCAATTGTACACTTGACTTGATTTCCACTTTCATCAGATGTGTAGAGCATTTCTTTGGTGATATCAATATCACTCTGGTATAACCTTATTTCAGCTTCTACTTTTGACTTTTCATTATCACTAAAAATATGGGACATAAAAGATGATAATTTTTCAAAAGCTAATATTGTACTGGTTTTACCTCTTAGCTCTGGATCTAATGCTGTAAAACTAATTAGATATGAATTTTTAAGGGGTAATTTCTGTTTCATATGCTGTGCTGTATTAGTATAACCCTTCATCAGAGAAATTTGGAATTCTTTTGCTACTGGATGATTTTTTGATAATTTCTTCAGGAGAGTGGAAGCTTCTGCACCAGTAAATATTACTTTGCTAGGTAAATGGAATTCTGGATTTGTGACATCAACCTTTAATAAATCATTATAATATGTGAACTCTATATTTTCTGGCTTCATAAAAAAAGAGAAAAATTTTGCCATCAATTTATAAATACTGGAATGTATTAAATGAAGCATTGGTTTTTTTTGTTTCAAATAATTTAATATATGTGTTGAACTCTCGTAATACTGCTGAATATAATGCCATATGCAATAAAGTTTTGTTTTGCATAACAAATAACCCATTTAATATTCTTTTTTCCGGAGCTAAAGCATCCTTTGTGAGTTGTTGGGAATGCAAGCAAGAATACACCCCTTCAACAATGAACAATGAACAATGAACTTCAACAATGAACATTGAACTTTTATAATTTTTTTCTGAGCTGCAGAAATATTTCTTTTATTGTATACAGTTTCAACATAAGAAAAATAATCTCCTTTATCAGTTTTATCCAAGTAGTGAAAATAAAATGCAATAAGAGCATCTCACAGATCTTTGATTCTTTCTCAAACACATAAAATGTACACCCACCCATGGTCTGGTCTCTTCAAGGGCTTAAGTTTTTTAATGGCAAGGGATTCACAGATTTTGAAAAAATTTTCTCTTTTACTGCAGCTTTTTCACATCAAAATAGATGTCATCAAACAAATCTTCTAAGTATCTATCAAAACATGAAGAAAAAAATTTTTTTTGCACAGTTATTAGCTGTGTGACATGTGTCACCATCAATATCTAATAAGTGGGGTGCTTTGTTTGATCGTAGTCTGGTTTCAACACCCTTTTTTTTTCCACGCATGGTGTTACATGAGTCCATTAATACACTAATTAAGTTTGCCCATGGAATATTATTATCTTCAATAGTATTAACAACTGCTTTAAAAAACAGCTTCTGAATTGCAAGATTCCATCTTTAGAGATGCAAAATGATGAACTACAACTTCATTTTGATTGTTGTCATAAAACTGCAACCAATATTGCCAGTATACTTTCTTGAGCATTGCTAGTACTTTCATCCAAATTTAGAGAAAATGGAGTCTCCTTTAAAGTTTTAATGATATTTTCCTTAATAGTTTTTGCGAGCCCATATTTCATCTTATAACATGCAGTAGTCCTGGACATTTCCAACGAGTTTAGTGCCGTCTGATCGCGGCTCAACTGTTTGCAGAGTTCAATTAAATTGGGAGCTACATTGAAAGAAAGAGAATTCTCGGCGATAAACGAAGTTATTGATACCTCTTGGCGTGCTTTTCTTGTCACTATATCCAATGGCCGAGCATCAGTCTCCAGTAAGTCATCAGTATTTTTTGAATTAGCATAATTACTTAAAGTCATTGAATGTATTATGCACTTTGAATATTTTATGTGCGTCACAGTTTTAGAATGATTTGTGAAAGCCTTGAATCCTTCCCCACCATACTTCAGCAGTGAGTTACAAACAACACAATATGCTTGTCCAGCAACATTTATTTTCTAGCACCATGTGCCCTTGCACCACGCCGAAAAGAATCCAGAAGAGAATGTCCGAGAACCGGGGGAATGAGTCATAACTCGCAATAAGGAAAGAACAAAAAAGAAGTTTTTTCCCCCTTTTCACGCATTATCACTGCCTTTGGAGAAAGAAAGGAAAAGTTTTCACCACACACACTGACCTTGCGTTTTCTGGTTTCAAAGCAAACAAAATTACCCAGATAAAAATAAATAATTCATTATTATTCCTACTTCCTTTTGAACGACGATCCCCGGAATTTCCGGGGATCGAAGTTCACAATCCCCGGTATTCCGGGGTTTCCCTGGAGCACAAACACCCCTGGAATAATGCTAAATAATGCAGACAATATTTGAATTTCTCTAACTTCAGTTCCAAAATTTTTTACTCAAACTTGATGATCACTTGCACGATATTGAAATAGAGAAGGATTTCTCAATCAGGGCAGAATTCTCTCTGGGAAGGATTTCATATTTTTAGGGTGGGATTGCAGTCAGCTTTTTATTTAGGTGTTAAGTATTTAGTTTTAATTCACGAAAATGAAAAACTATTTTTATTCATGTTTTGGTATTTATCAACATTTCATACATTTTTCAGTGTTTAATTTATTAAATGATTTAAAAATTATCTAATTCTAAATAAATGTGTAAATTTGAGTTCTGGAAAGGAGGGAAGGATTATCTTATAACAATGGTGAAAATGGTGCATGAGAACAAAAAGAGTTGAGAACCCTTGCAATCGAGAATATAGCTTTCCACTAGAATGAAGAATGAGAGCTATTTGGGGGAAATGGAATAGTGTTGTTTCTACATTCTTGATCCCTCATACACAATTAAAAAAAAAAAAAAAAAAAAAATGAAAAGACCTGCACTGAGATTCATGTGGAAAAGAGCATTCTGTTACTTGTTTTTATAAAAGAAGTAGTAGCCCCCCTAAAATTAACACAAGGAGCAATATATATAGATTTTATTTTTGATCAATTTACTGCAAGTGAATTAGACCATCACACCTTTAGTTTCTCCAACTCGGAATTTACAATTACAATCTGTTCACAATTTACTGCTTCATATTTGTTATGGTTTTAAGTAAAATTACATGGCAAAACACAGTGAGACTGTTGCCAAGGTTTATATACACTGAAGAGCCAAAATATTATGACCACCTATATAATAACATACTGCACGACCTTTGGCCTGCAAAACAGCTGCAACTCACCTTGGCATGGATGCTACAAGTTCTTGGTAAATGACTAAAGGCAGGTTGTACCAAATGTCTAAGCAGCGGTCATGCAAAGTCTAGATATTCTGACATGGTGATTTTTGAGCTCTGAGCTTCCACTCCATGTCATCCCAAATGTGCTCTATTGGATTAAGATATGGTGAGTTAGGTGGCTAGGGCATTAATTGGAATTCATCCTTATGCTTCTTGAATCACTCTAACACAATTCCAGCCTTGCAACAGGCATTGTCCTGCTGGAAAATTCCATTTCCAGTTGGGAAGACAGATGCCATATAAGGGTACAACTAATTTGTAGTTATGTTCAGATAGTCCACAGCTTTCATTGTCTGTTCTAACACAAATAAAGGTCCCAGAGCCACCCATGAGAATGTCCCCCCAAAGCATTATACTGCCACCACCAGCATGTGTATCTATTGAGGGAGGTAATTGTTCACCTAGAAGATGGCATACCCTGACACGATCATCGACGTGATGAATGAGAAATCATGATTCATCTAACCAGGCAACTGTCTTCCATTTATCCATTCTCGATGTTTCTGAGCCCACTGTGGGCACAGTCGACAATGATGCTTGGTCAACAGAGACACACAAGTGGGATGTCTGCTGCACAGTCTTCATATCCAACAGTGTTATCTGAAGAGTGTGTTCCAAAACACTTGCACTTGGACCTCTTTGTTTTGGGCTGTCAGCTGAGCCACTATCTGGTGCTGATTTTGCTTTACCAAGGGAGACATTCTCCGATGTTCTTTTACTTTGATGATCTTATGGATGTCCAATACCTTCGTGTCTACTGCTAGTTTCACCATAATTTATCCACTTTGCATAATTATTAACAATGGCAGATTGTGTGAACAATTTACAATTCGTACAGTTTCAGAGATACTTGTTCTGAGTCTCTAGGCCATTACAACCTGCCCTATAACAAATTTGCTTAGATCAGCAGCCTTTCCCATCACTTGCAAGTAAAAATATGCAAGAACAGTGCAAAAGTAACTGCCAGAATGATTCCTTACTTTCTCCAGCAATAGTTAAATACCATTCCCACTTAATCACATGCTCTCCACATCATCTAAATGACTGCATTGAAAAATGCGGGGATGGCCATAATGTTTTGGCTTATCGGCATATTTTCTGCTGTCTGATAATCATAGTCAGTTCTAAAAATAGCATTACCATGGCAATTAAGTTCAGAGAAATGTAATTATTTGTTCTTTTTTTTCGGTATTTTGATAAGTGCATAATAATTATTTCGAAATTATTGTATTCCTACTGTAATTAAAAAGATTGTTAAAGCAAATGGCAATACTTTTTTAATTATTCAAATTCTTATTCTATTTCAAAATAAAACTATTATTTTTTATATAAGAATCTCTGATTAAAGAGCTGTACATAGTTCATGCACTGCTTTCTCGATGTGTCTGCTCTTTCTCAATGTGTCACCTAGATGACTTAACAGTCAATCTAGGTGAATAATAATAAAAAAAGGATTTATAGTCTAAATCAATTAAAGTTCAGAATAGGTACTCAGTTAAGTGCTTCACATTTTAATTTTGGAGAAATCTTAACTCGATATAACTTTTACAAATGCATAGCAAAAATTTGATTTGTGCAAAGTTTAAAAATAATATTCCTGAGATGATTATATATTATATTATTTTGCATGCTTTTTAAAGGAAATAATATTTTTCTTACCTTCATTCAAAGCAATACATTTTTAATGTCCTTTTTCTCTGTTGTATGTATTTTAAAAAGTAATAATGAGAATACAATTGTTCCAAATAATGTTCTTACATTAATAAATTATATGCATTTGTAACATTCAATTCAATAGTTTCAAAATCGTATATGAAGTTATGAGTATAAATAAAAGACTTACATTATTGCAAACTTTTGATTGATCCAAAATGCAGAAGTACTCTCATCAAAATCTTTAGGTGTCTTAACTTCAGGTGAATACAATAAAACTTGTCGCTTCAATTTAGGAAAGGCAACTAAGGACTGAAAAAAAAAAAAAGTTTTTTTTTTATCATGATCTTTTCTTTTATTCATGTCATTTGCATATCATGCAACATTACAGGAAAATATAAATTTATTACATAGCTTTAAAGCATAAAAAATAAATTCTAAATTAGACTTACAAATTAGAATTTTACAAAGAAATATTTCAATCTTTTTCACTTACACTTAAGCCCCTGCCTGCTCTATTTGGATTTTCCAGTATGCTTACAGCTAATATGGTGCAGTGCAAAATGTTTATTTGAACTTAATGTCAATCTGATAATTTATCATGATTCATCTAACCAGGCAACTGTCTTCCACTTTTCCATGGTCCATTCTCAATGTTTCTGAGCCCACTGTGGGTACAGTCGACAATGATGCTTGGTCAACAGAGACACACGAGTGGGATGTCTGCTGCACAGTCTTCATATCCAACAGTGTTATCTGAACAGTGTGTTCCAAAACACTTGCACTTGGACCTCATTGTTTTGGGCTGTCAGCTGAGACACTATTTGGATAAATTCAACTGACAATTCATTTTGCATACTGCATGATTTTCACATTTTAGGAAGTGTGGTGTGTGGTGTATTTAATTATGGCAAAGCACACTAGGGCTATCTGCCTAAGGGAAGGGATGCCTTCGTGGAGGACTTTCTAAGGGAAACTGGCTCGTATACACGTTACACATGGGGAAAACCACGAAAACACCCACGCAGCCAGCCCGTTCCCGGGATTTGAACCTCGGACCGAACTACCAGTGTTCAGCGACTTTACCGCTCGGCCGCTGGTGGGCCACATTTTAGGAAGAAAAGTAAAGAAAATGCATCATGCATGCGATAAATGAGGTATGATCAGAATTTCAAACTAAATAATTCAAAATCATATACATGAAAGCTATGAAACTGACATTCACGTGCATGGTCTTTAATTACTTAGTTTGCAATTCTGGAATGAATATCTCTGTTTACAAATTACAGGTCTAAGAGATGGTCCCTTAATTTATGACAAATACTCCTAGTGTAGTATGTATTAATGTACCTAAACTATAAAATTACTTAACCCTCATTACTATATAACAGACTTAACATCTGAGTTTCACTCAGTAAGCCAGACTTATCAACTTTTGAGTCTGCTATTTCCCCAAATACCTCAGCCAAGCAACTTCTTTAATATTTTATTTGAGCTTCCTTTCTTCTTCATCTGTCCCAACAAATATGATTGAAAAAGTCCAGTCTTTGAGATTTAAAGAAATAATTCTAAGTAAAATGATTGTACACATAATTTTACAAACCAATCGCTATTAAATTGTTATAGAAAGTCTATTTGATTTGCTGTTGAGTTTGCAGTTTTGCCAAATGCCCTAGCCAATTTTTCTTTTTAAATTTAACTTCAGCTTCCTAACTATCATCCCTTCATTTTAATAAGACATTAGAAGAAAAGTATAGTCTTTTTAAGATAAAAAGCTATTATAAGTAAAATAATTAAGCATAGTTTTGTAAGTCTGTAATTATGAAGCTATAGAAAACTGATTTGATCTTATTTTCTATGTGAATGATAGTTTTCTTTAGGTTCACACTTCCAAAAATGCCCATTCTTAATAAATTCCGATAAAAATTTTTGCTTCTGAATTATCTCACTGCTCAGTTTAAGAGAGAAATAATAACTATTACAGATCATTTAAAGAGTTTATTTGATCAGTTTTTTTATGTTTGCAAATTATAATTATATAATTATTATACTTTAGCAAAACTTTGGCTTAACTCATCAAATCCCAATAGATTTCTTTTTATTTTGGCAATCTTCCTTGCCTTTTTTTTTTTTTTTTTTAATCCATTCCCCTCTCATTGTGACAAAGGAAACTGATAGAGTAATATATGAAGCTGGAACAAGAGAATCAGCTAAAATTCTATTCACCATGCGGAAAGACAATTATCAATATTCTGTATTGATAATTGCTTTCTCTGTAGCAGTTTCTATATAAAACAAATATAATGTAAGTTAACATTTCCTGCTGGAATAAGGAATGAAAGCAAAGATTAACATACAGGCTACATTTTATTCACTGCTAATTAATATTTCAGAAATATTAATATATTAATAAATTATTTTTCTGAAAAATAAACAAGAAAAAGTGGGTACAAGTTAATCAGTTCAATTAAAGGAAATATAACATTACACAGCCATTAGAATATCAGTTTGAATTCTGTATGGCAATATTAATAGTACTCTAAAAGTTCTCTAAAAACTTGATGCTTTCAAACCTGCATTTATTATTTACAAGAAGTCAAGATTGATTATATTAGACTGTATACGAGCCAGTTTCCCTTAGAAAGTCCTCCACGAAAGGCATCCCTCCTCTTAGGCAGATAGCCCTAGTGTGCTTTGCCATAATTAAATACACCGTTGATTATATTAGACACATAATTACACACAAATGAAAATGGCATAATATAAGAAGACCACTTTCCTAATTTCTAGTCAAAATGAACTCTTATTTATGAGTATTGGAATTTCATTTTTCTCCCTTACACAGTTCTTTCAGATGTTTATTTTGATTACTGGCCATCTTACGAGATTTTAAAACAGACTAGTTTTTAACATTTAACATTAGCAAACAGCAATCAAAGAATTTCTAATGTCTGTTTTGCCACAGAGGAAAGAATAGATTGATTGAAGGCAGAGCAATAACAATAACACTTACCCACAAATTTCTTCTCAATTCAGTATCTGGTAGTTCCGTAGCTAGACGCAGATTTTCAAATGTTATCTTCTCATGTGGTCGTTGATTCCAAGCAAACAAAATTCCCATTTGAAATGTTGTAATTTCTAGATCAAACTTTCCAACTGAGTTGCTAAAAGTAATCTACATGCACACGCACAAAAAGGGGGGGGGTGAAATAATCGGAAAATAAACAACTAGCAATAATAGAATCAAAACAACTTTATAACATTACTCTCTAGTTAATTTTTCATTTTATTGTTTTTAAAGATAAATATTAACTTCTAAGATTTTAGTCGTAAATTAATCAAAGCTTGTTTCAAGCTGGATATTAGTTTAGGATATCTCATATGAAAAACATGTCAGATTTTTTTTATTGTGAATAAAAGTTATAATAACTTATAATAAGTTGTTCCCAACACAGAAAAACAGTTTAGTAATGATTTTTCTCAACACAACCAAATATTTAAAGAATTCATTTGTGTAAAACTTTTAAAAATTAATAATAATAATAAAAGAAAAGGATATACACTACATATCAAATGTTTATGCCCACTCTTAATTCAACTGTTTCAGAGCATTGCTAAATTTTTTCATGTAAGCACATAACTCAGCATGTGCCAAGGAGCCCATATATATATTTTCATATTCAGACTAAGTTACTGGGTTTTAAGCAACACTGATGATAGATTTTTTGCTGCCCGATGGAATCCAAAATTCCATCACCCGGTTCTTTTCTAAATTATAAAAATTTTGCGGTCCGTTGCAGCCACACCAGCTGCACATGCTGTGAGGCTGGTCCGGGTTTTAAGTTATAAAAAAGGATACTTGCATGTATTTAAAATTTTGTTAAATATTAGCAATAAATAAGGACAAATTTAGAGTAATAAAGTCTTCCTTCTTTTCATGACAAGGTAATGGATGAATTTTTCAATCACTGCAAGAAATGCTTTCCATAGGATGTATGGTAGGTATGCATTTTTTGTTTGTTTTCAGGCATGATGTGGAGAAGCAATGCAAGAAGGATACTGAAGCCATTTTCTACACACAGTGCACAGTGTGGATGGAGCTGGTCCAACTGTAGCACGCAATTTGGATAAAACACGAGCAGCTTTCCTTGGTACCCATTTAGCAGTCACAAGCATGACTGTGCAAGAAACGCAAAGGTGCCAGTACCATCACGGAGTTGAGTTTCATGAGGAATCCTCTTTGAGGTTCTTGGAAAACCCATGAGAGTTCTAAATCTTGGCAAGCACTGGCCAACTTCTACAAAGGTACCAGCACTTATTTTCAAGCTGACCACTGCTCGCCAGGAGACAGGAGTAACCTGACTAAAGTCACAAATATGCCTATATCCCCGTAAAGAAAATTAATTAAAATTGTTCCCTTCTACAAAGTATAATGTGACTCAGTGGGTAAGATGCAGAATTTGGAAACTGAAGATCCTGAGTTCAAAGAGCCCACCAGTGGTAAAGTCACTAAACACTGGTAGTTTGGTCCGAGGTTTGAATCCCATGAACAGGCTGGCTGCATGGATATTTTCATTGTTTTTCCCATGTGTAACATGTATACGATCCAGTTTCCCTTAGAAAGTCCTCTAAGAAGACACCCCTCCCTTTAGGCAGACAGCCCTCAAGGCTTTGCTGCAATCACATAAACCAATAAATCAAACCTGAGTTCAAAACTCATCAAAGGCAAGTGGTCTAAAAATTGGTTTTTGTTTAAATTTCCTTCCTGTTAGTTTGTCTACTTATATTAACTTCTAAGATTTTAGTCGTAAATTAATCAAAGCTTGTTTCAAGCTGGATATTAGTTTAGGATATCTCATATGAAAAACATGTCAGATTTTTTTTTATTGTGAATAAAAGTTGTAATAAGTTATAATAAGTTGTTCTCAGCACAGCAAAACAGTTTAGTAATGATTTTTCTCAACACAACCAAATATTTAAAGAATTCATTTGTGTAATCATTCAGATCATTCAGGTGTAAATAAATGGTTACTCATTCAGTTTGAATGATAAAGTCTTGAGTTCATCCTTGAACACTTGTCTCTTCCAGCACTTCATCTATGCTACAGTTTAGTCAAGGTGCCAGGTAAATTAATTACTAGAGAAGAGTCAAGCCAAAGCCTACATATTCGAAGACTTCCCCCTAATTTTGGTCTTTTAAGGATTCAAGTAGAAGATCGAGGATGATGGGAAGAAAGCAGAGCAGAAGTCCCCTAGCAGGAGCTAATTCCGTTCGGAGTAACGCCGCACCGATACTTAAATGACTTACAAATACCCAGAAGCCGGTAACAACCAACAAGATACTAACAGATGGCTCAAGGACTTTGATTGAATCGCCACCTATAACCACTGTGACGATTAATTGTGTCTAGCGAACATTTTTTACTTTGGAAACTCGACAGAACCGGAACCACTCGACAGTGGTTCGATAATAATCAAGACACATTTACTAGTTGAACTGTTTTCAGAAATCCTCTCAAAACACATTTTGTCATGCAGTTGCTGTAAAACGCCAAGTCGAAAGACTACTACTCACATGTGTGCAGCAAACTAACGAGATGTCTGATGCTTATATTCAAGATGTACTTGCTATGTGCCGAAAAGGTTGAAGATGAGAATTTCTCATCTTCAGTCATAGAGGGTTGAAGATGAGATAGTGGCTTATCTCATGACTCATGAAAGATATTTCGAGGACTTGTACCAGGTCCTGTCTCCTGTCCTTTCAGGACTACGACAGCTTCGAAACCTTCATGAAATGTCGCCGTCACATGGAAAGCCTTTGAGAATGAGGTATCTCTACCAACGATGATTCGAGAGGCTACTTAATGTCTCTGCGGCGTTGGCCAATGCAGACGACAGGGATTTAAGTTCTATAATTCACACCATCATCAAGGAAGGGCTTCAGAATGTCATGCCACAAGTTCAAGGCTACACAGACGAAGAGCCAGCGAATCACATAGCTTCAGTGGTCTGGAAGGAAGTTATGGAGGCTCTAGCATCACTCACAGGAACCGAAAGAAGCAAAAACACAACCCTACATTCTGTTCCAGTTAAGCCGCAACCAAGGCATGAAGGCAGCAAGAAAGCTGCTCCACAATGTAAGATAGCCCTGGGGAGGATCGACAATAATATGCCCCTCTGTTATCATTGCAGATGCCCAAGGATTGGCATATCTCTCTGTTATCATTGCAATGTACTATAGGAATAGATGCCAAATGTTTGAAAATGCAAGAGCAACTAGGACATTCCAACACTGGACAAGGACACTGTATACAGCTTCAAGTATGTCCAGCCAAAACTTCTTCCCGAATAAGGAGGAGTTCACCTTATCCGGTTCACCTTATCACGCTTTCTCAACAGCCATCGCAGCTGCCAGTATGCCATTCCCCATGTCAAAGCAATGAGCAAAACTAGGGCAGGTGTCCTATGCAGGAGGTGAGGCCACAATTGAAGAAAATCCTCTAATGTACACCACAGCCAAGTTAAAAAAAAATACCTCCCTTATAACTGTGAACGGACAGTGTGTGAAAGACCTTGTTGATTCAGATGCCAATTATTCTGTCACATTCGAAGAATTACGCCAATTATTTACGGAAATACTGTTATTATTCAAGCAATTGTAAGATATTAATAAGAAAACCTTTAAAATTAAGCTGCATCTATTACTTTTGATAAGCTAAATAATAAACTAAATGAAAAACTAATAAATAAGCACTAAGTAATTCAAATCAAGCAATAAACAGTATTCATAACGATGCTTATATTATTCGGTCAATTATACTGTATGCTGAAAGGTGGTGGTGTATTTAATTATGGCAAAGCACACTAAGGCTATCTGCCTAAGGGGAGGGATGCCTTCGTGGAGGACTTTCTAAGGGAAAAACTGGCTCGTATACACGTTACACATGGGGAAAATCACGAAAACACCCCATGCAGCCAGCCCGTTCATGGGATTCGAACCTCGGACCGAACTACCAGTGTTCAGCGTCTTTACCGCTCGGCCGCTGGTGGGCCTGTATGCTGAAAGATCTGAACAAATCTGAAGCTTTTATATAGGTTCACTATTTTATAAATACTTATTTAGATTTCTCATTTAATGCTGCTATTTATTAGCTGATGCTCTTTAAATCTTATTTATTAACTGATTTTATAATTTTTTTTGTATGCTTATTTCTTGGAAAGTAGTTTCAAGTTAATAACTGATAAAAAAATTAGGCACACTTTAAATTATAAAAACTGGGCATTCTAAATTAGAATTTCCTGAAAACGTTTACTGCCAGTTTTATTAGCTATATGAAAAATATGAATGTTTATCTGCTTGTAAATGCAATCTAAGAGATTTACCAAAAAGCATATTCAAAGCATGCTGCTGGAGATTTTATAAATCAGTTTATTAGAAAGAATCATATCAATAAAGCATACTCATTATTTTTTATTTTACAAATCACAGATTTAATTTTAGATGCTTTTTTATTAATTGAAAAGATTTATAATAATTAAAGATAATTTTTAATTTATGAATAATGAATGGGAGATTTTTTGGCTTAAAAATTTGCATATGGATTTTGAATTTAATAAACGGGTTACAGAAAAATTTAACTGAAGTTTGTAATAACATTTAATGTCACCAAAACAGTAACATTAAAGGTTATTCCTTATCACCAAATTTCAACAGGGGTTATTTAGTTCAATTTAAGGTTATCCTTTGCATTAAAATACAATAGGTTAAAAAAATTGAGGAATGCACCTACAAAGAGGAAAAACAGAATTGGAAAATCCTATCTGTTTTTATGTTAGCTAACACTGTTATTTATATATTATGAAATGTAAGTTTCAGAATGTACAACAAAAATTATGGAATTCAATTTTATTATCAAAAAAACATTTTTTATGCCATTAATTTAATGAAACACTGGCACATCTTGAAGAGAATGAAAATTGACAATTTATATAAAGTTCCTATAGAAGTAGATAATTAAAATAATGAATGCTGTAGATAATTCATGTTATGAGAAAACATGGGGGGGGAAGACAGTGAATTTGAATAACAGTTAAAATGTAGTACTTCATGAAATGAAAAATATTTAAACTCAACATGTGTAAACAAAGAAAAGCATGTTCATCAGAAATAAATATTTTACTATACTTTAATTTATTGAGTGAGTATTTTTATTATATATATCTGTAGACAAAACTTGAAATTTAACATATGTACTAATTTACAAAATTTTTATTCCAGGGCAGATTGTTGAAAGAAAGGGGACTCATGTAAAATATGTTTTTAATCAGTTATTTGTCTTATTATAATGTTTATTTGTCTTATCAGTTATTTGTCTGTGTTTGTCTTATAAGTTTTTACAGGCAATAAACAATATTCATAAGGATGCTTATATTATTAGTCAATTGTAATGCATGCTGAAAGATCTGAACAAATCTGAAGCTCTTATTTAGGTTCATTATTTTATAAACCATTCTTACTAAATTAAGAGTTAAAATATATAGTTTTACATTAAATATGCACTTTATTTAGATATCATGAATAACAAGTAAAGATTTAGTCACTGAATTTAGAAAATCAGTGAATTAAAAACTAAATAAGATTTTAATAAACACTATGGTCCAACAAAATGGACTCTATATACAAAAAGACATCATAACAAGACTTTGGAACAATCCCCAAAAGGTAAATTTACAGAACTAATAAGATGTTAGTTTCGTAGTTTACTTCTTTAGTGCATGAAATTCACAAAGAAAGATAGATTCAATAAGGTGTCACTAAAATGTTTATACAGTCAAAAGTCTTTAATCTGGACATCCATAATCCGGAACGATCTATAATCCGGACCTCAAAGCTACAAACTTTCTGCGCATGCGTTTATGCATGTGCATAATATGTTTACGCATGCACGTTTAATCTATAACGGACGGTATACTAAGCTAAAATTATCTAATTATCTATTTCAGTTAATGTTGCAGATTGCGTTGTTCCTTAATCTTCTAATTGGATCCCGCTTATTATTTTTTGCAGACTGTTAGAGCAATTTTATAAAAGTAATCTTGAACTTTCGATTATTTCAAAAAGAATTTCTGATTATGGAGCTGCCAAAGGATCTACAAAGCGAAAGCATGTTTCGATGTCCATCAAACAAAAAGTGGAATTGCTGCAAAGAATGGATAAAGGCATATCCTTTGTTCCTCTAACCATTCCGAAATCTGTTTATATATTTCACGCTGCTCTGCCGGGGGGGGAGACGTTGTGGTACGCAATGAACTGGAAGTTGATGTGTCAGTACTATCCTTATCTTCAAGGCCGATGTTTTTATTTTATTTGGCTTATAATTCCTTACTAAATGTAGTATTTCATCTCGATGTACTCCGTCTTTGATATGATTTAAATCAAATTCCTCGTCATTATAAATATTATGAATACACATCAAATAGTTTTCTGGTTGCAATTTTCTAATTTCGACTATGCCTAATGTATGCTTTACACATGCACGCGTTGAAAGAAATGGTTAATAAAGTAAACAAATAAATATTAAGCTCTCTCTTTTTTGTAAATTTTGATACCCTTTAGATCATAATTGCTCTTTATTTCATAAATTACAGTTTCATATTTTTAATTTTATAATTTCTGCATGCCATCTTACCAGATTTAAATTGATGATCTATAATCCAGAAAAACCAATAATCCGGAATCGCCGAAGTCCCGAAGAGTCCAGATTAAAGACTTTTGACTGTATATGTTGTTACAACCTAGCATCCTACATTTTTGTAACGAGAATATGGTATTTAAAGACATGAAATTGACATCTTTGTGTAAAAAGAAATAAAGGCAACGATCTGAATCAACATCTTTGCAACTGTCGTAAAAGTGTGGAATTTTGCAGACACATGCATACATAATGCGACGTCTTTGCAACATCATGTGTGATGAAATTACAATGTCTTCAGTTTCTGATGCCATGATTCAGCATTTTCCATTTTATCCTGTGCTCAAAAGAGTGTCATTCATCTTGTTTGGTAAAGTAAGAACATGAAAATTAATCCATAGAAATATATAAAACTCGAATCTACACATAAAAACAGTTTGACAGATATTATTATAATTTAAATTACACAAAACAAGCATAGTCTGTCTTTCTAATGGGAGAAATGCCTTTGTGCAGATTTCTTAAGAAAAACAGGCTCACAGTCATGCTATTCAAGGAAAAACCATGACTATTTCTATGCAACTAAACTGTTTGCCACAAGGATTGAGAGAGGAATCTCTTGGAAACCTGAATGGTGTGAGAAAATATGCTAAGACACTACCATTTGCAATTTGCATGCTCTAAAATACCCACATTTGTCATTCAGATAAATATTTAGATGATAAATGTGACTTTAAATGATAAATGTATTTAGATGATAAATGTTTTTTGAGCGTATTCAAATTTTTTGGTAACAGCAATATTGCAGATAATTCAGATGAATGTGGACAGCATATTTATTATATATAAATACAAACAGAAGAGAAGATAGATAAATCCTTACCGTGCCGTTTGACATGTGATGATACCACTGAAGTTTACGACCACTGTATTTCTGCTTATAAAATTCTTCAACTTCAGGTATAAAATCTTCTAATTCTAGTGGCAATGAAACTGGTATTCGCTCACTTGCCCTAGCCCAAGCACCAGTATTAAGAATCTTTATTTTCACCAAATCTACAGAAAACATTAATAAAAATGAAAATTATAAGAGCAAACATAAAATTGTTATTAGATGAATGAGTATTCTGAATTAGTAAATGATAATAAAGCTAAAAAGTACTTTGAATGTCAGTAAATAAATTTACTATCAACCAGTCAAGTTAATATCAGGAAGCAAATTATGAACAAATTTCAAGCTCATTTTAGCCCATAATAACTATACTTTTATTACTGTATTCTTGCATGTACAAGCTGCACACATGTAGGAAACATATTGTCATGCAGAGTTAATACTTTAGAATCATAATCTGAGTCATACAAAAATTCATTAGGCTATAAATATTTTTAATGTTTAATATATGAACATTAGGAGTTAGCTATGTGCTAATACCAAAGTCTGCCAATGTTTTCTAGAACATGAATTCTGTTACATTCAGGGGAATAGGATCTCCTTTTTAAAAGATATATATTAATCACTACTTCTTACATCAGTTTGCATAGCAATATCCACCACTTTATCTATCAAGATCAAAAACCTCTATCTAAACGGAAATTTATGTTACATACTAAGCATTTTAGGCTTCAGTTTGTGTATGGCCTCATACGCACATACTTTTAAATTAAATAAATGGGTCAGTTTATCATATCATATGGGAACCAAATTCATTATATATATATATATATAATCAAAGAATATGAAGGGGAGTTGCTAGCTCTTGTAGACATAATGTAAACCAGCTTGACTAGACTCAGGTGACTCTTGAATTGGAAGCCAGCATGTGATGAAGCAAGCATGCAGGGTGCTGGCAGAATTCCTTTTACTTGAAATATTAGTGAAGTACAAAGCATAAATTTGCTATAATTAGCTTTAGCTCTTATTTAAAATCTTTATTCTGCAATGTACTTTACATACTATTTTTTTTTTTTTATTTTACAGAAAAAGCGTTCATTTTTGCACTTAATAAATGGTTACTGTTATATTAATATTTTTAATGTAATACTATGTTAAATTATGCTTTCATTTTAAATGTCTATGGAAATATATTTCTATAAATAAACTCATAGATGTAACATTTATTATTATTAAAATAATTTTTTAAAAAAATCCGGAAAGTAGCACTTAAGTAAACCTTTGGAGTGTGGCGTAGCTAAGGTGGGGCAAGAGGGGGCACCTGTCCCTGGGTGCAGCAATCAGGGGGTGCCAAATTGAAGTTACAAAATTCTAGAATGAAATGTTTTCTATTCTTGGCACACAGAAAGGAGCGCAAAATCTTCAGTTGTCCCTGGGCGCTGAAAACCTTAGGTATGCCTCTGCTTCAAAGATCTCAGCTAGCAGAGGGTTGGAAACGTAAGCAAACTAAAGCGTATGTGGAATTACAACAAATAGTTTGATTAATTTTATGACTTACCAGCCAAAGAGTTTTTAGTATGGTAAGTTCCTTTGAATTCTTCATTAAGATCTTCATTTACTTTTATGTCTTGAAACATTCTCGATAATTTATTCACGTAATCAGCAGGCATACCAATATCCTTAGAAGAAAAGAAAAAAATTAATAACAACCAACATTTCATAAAATAAAATTCATGTAAAGGCAAAAAATTTAAAAGTTTACTTACTCTTAAGCCATTGACCATGTTTTCTTCTTTCTCATTATCAGCTGAAGTCTCAAGAATGAGCCGTCTTGTAAGATGAGATTTGTGATACCTCATGAAAACATCTTTGTTTTGAACATACTTGAGAATTAAAAGCTGTGCAAAGAAAACAGCCAGATGAAACTATGTGATCAAAAAACTTTATTTTTTAGCAATAGCATAATTTTAATAAAAGTTCGAACAGGAAGGGAAATAAACACTCTTGGAATTTCAAAAATACCCAAATTAATAATAAAAGTAATTTTGATACTAAATTTTAGAGCAGTCAACATTTAAGGAACTGTGTGATGACAAGATGATAGCTATGTGATGAATACAATAATAATTTGTTAAAATAAAAAAACAATCAGGGCTTAATTTTTAAAATAATAAGTGTAGGAGCCCTATGGAAGACTGTCAGCAAAGAGGAACAAGAGTAAATAAATAAATAAAATGACTATTTAACTCATTAAAAACTATTATTTTCAAATTGAATAGTTAATTACTATCACATTAATTAATTAATAGCTATTTAATTAATTATGCTTATAAATTTTTATTTAGTCAATAATTATGATATAATTAAATAATTAAAATTAAATTAAATGTAAAGAGATAAATTAAAATTTAATAAGTGATTTTTAATATAATTTTATTGCTAAAAATAAAATTTTCGAGATAAAATTTCTACTGAAATTGTTATTCATTTACATAAAAGAAGTGTCACAACCTTTTTATTTAGGGCTCCGGTTAGAATTATGAATTAGAGTTAGAATTATTCCGGCTAGAATTATGATTTATTACAAAAACTAAGAAGCATCGAAGCCAGGATCCGGTGGGCTTAGGCGCAATTTAAGCTCAGATGGTAGGGAAGGAAAAAGTTCTTTTATCGTCACAAATATACTTAAAATATAGCTGATGAAAATTCAGATAATACTAAAAAGAGGGCGAAACAGAATGAGAGCACAAGGGTATGAGTAAGTGGAAACAAAAAATGAGGGGAATCTTGGTGAGAGAGAGCATTCTCTTTGACCACAGCTCTTTGCTGATATAAGTATAGCCATCAAGTGGATGTGTGTCAGGGGTAAAATGAGTACTGAATCTGACTTCTAAGGATGAATGTAAAGTTGCTGGTTATGCTTTTCGCTACCCGTATTTGGTTACATTAGTGGATACTGTAGGAAGACGATATACAGGACGTGCTTGAGCAGTTTATCTCTTATTGTATTGTACTCGCTGTCACTAATGCACATTTAAGAAAACAAATCTTCCTTCCTGCGAGGATAACTAACTGTAACCATCGATAACAATACACTAGATACGATATCATGGCGAGAAATTTACATGTTCCTAAACAAAACTCCCCCAAATTTATTACCCTTCTTAAAGGGAAAGGTTTCCACATGTGGGTGAGAGGACTTTACTTGAACATCTCATGTTCTCATGAGCTTGTATTTCTAGCGAAATAGGGTATTGCAAGATCTGCTTATTGTTAAACTAAAACATTAGGAATTCTAAATTTTTTTTCTTGAAATTGTGCGTCAATTTTATAAAAAGAAGCTCATCTTATTTAGGGCTCCGGTGCGCTCTGGCTAAAATTGTAATTTATCTTAAAAATTGAGAAGTACCAGAGCCGGGCTCCAGTGGGCTCTGGCGCAATTTAAACACTGGAAATAATATATCCAAAAGTAGAGCACTTAAAATAAATAAATAAATAAATAAAAAAGATTAACATCTGTCTTATCAAAAGTAATGTCTTAACGAAGGTTAACTTAGGATAAATGTTAATTGATCTAATAGCAGATAACTATTTTTATCAGAGAAGATTTCATCACTCAGTAAATAAAATTTCAATTCAAATATTATCTCAAATTATTCTTTATAAATTTTAACATGGCCATAAAACCCAGCATATTGCAAGTACTAATTAAATCTTAACTATTAAAACTAAAATAAAAAATATTCATTTTAGTGATTCCTCAAAAAAGAATATTTATATAATCAAACAAGAAGGACATGAAATAAAGAAATTAAATAGCAATTAAAGATTAGGTTAGGTTAAAATAGCATTAAAAACAAAAATAGCCTATGTCAAATGTGCAAATAGTCTAATAACAAAATAATATTTAATAGTAATAAATAGTTAAATAGAAAATAGTTATAGTAAATATTAAAATAAGTACTAATTAGTAAAATATTAAATGCACAAATAGTCCAGTAATAAAATGGTCTATATCTACAATTCTCAAACTGGATAGCATGGCAATAATCACGAAAAGTTGTAGCAAACTTTCTGGGTCAAGTGATTTACAGATAAAATTAACTAAAAATTCCCATAAATATAACAGAAATAATGAAAAATTCAGCAAATTAAAGACAAATGAGAGGTACTTTTTTTTTTTTTCTTTTTTCGTTTTTTCATATTGAAACTGTTTTAACCCATTAGCGCCCAGTGTCCTCATTTGAGGACGCTGTAAAAAAATTGTTATTCCCTGCATTAAATTAAAAAAACTTTTTATATGTACAATTTGGTCCGATAGAGATGACACAACCATACAATGGGAGATGTGCAAATTATTTGGAACTAAGTAAAATTGTGCGGGAAAGATAAAAAAGATTAAAGTATAAATTTACCCGTTTTTTGGTAATCGCGTTGTTTATTTTATGTTCCACTGTATGGCACTGGATTTATGAGGTAAATTCTTTCAATTTGTTATAAATATAATCTAGATAGCCCATATTGTGTCATTAGCATGTTTGTTAATATTTATTATTGTAAATATATCCGTAATAAACAGGAAAACATATCCGTCCTCGTTTGAGGACACTGGGCGTTTGGGTATAGTTTTTATGCAGTATTCAGATTTATTTTTTAAGTGTTTGTTACTTTTGTTGCAGAAAAACTATAAATAAATCTTGAAAAATGAGTAGAAATAAAATATTTAAAAGCTTAGAAGAGGCGACTGCTTATCTTTTTTCTGAAGAAATAGAAGCAGATATTATATCGATGCCTCCGGATGTGGATGATCTAACAGATGAAGAGCAATTCGATGATGATAATTTGGGTACTCCAGTTGTGTATCAGATGTTACAGGTACATTAGAAATTACAATGCCAGATAATAATGATAACCCTATTATTTCGGATAAGAAAAAGGAAAACAATTCCCGTAAACGTAAAAGAGAGTCAATTGTATGGACGAATGAAAGCCCGGCTTACACATTGGGAATTCGGAAAATTTGTCCAAGAGAAATTCTGATATATTGACAGCGCAAACTAATAATATGAGTCCAGTTGAGCTGTTTGAAGAATTTTTTACTGAAAGTGTTTATGATATGATCGTAGAGGAAACTAATCGATATGCTCACGAAATGAAAAAATAAATTGAATTATAATGTGGACTAAAGATGAAATAAAAACATTTATAGGATTTCTGATACTTTCGGGCTATCATACTTTACCCCAGTGAACGGGATTACTGGGCAGAAGCAGAGCAGATGATTAGGAGTAACAATAGTGAAGAATGCTATGACTAGAAATTTCTACTTAGAGCTCAAAAGATTATTGCATTTCCAAGATAATAAATTACATCAATATAACAAGAATGATAAATCATTTAAAATACGTCCCTTGTTAGAAATGCTTTCCAAGAATTTTCAAAAATGGGGCATTTTCCATGAAAATTTGTCTGTTGATGAAATGATCGTCCGGTATTATGGTCATCATACACTGAAACAGTTTATAAAATCTAAACCTATTAGATTTGGGTATAAACTCTGGGTTCTGTGTGGCAACGATGGATACTGTTATAACTTTGCACTGTATTGTGGAAAGGAAACAAATACTTCCGAATCTGACAAACTGCCTTTAGGTACAAAAGTGGTGCTAAATCTACTATCTATTGTAGAGATCCGAAGAGCCATCGTGTTTATTTTGATAATTTTTTTACCAGTCATGCGTTACTAAAAAAAACTGAAAGAACTGAAGTTTAGAGCTAGTGGAACAACGAGAAATCGTATGAAAATGCATTGGATGACAAGAAAAGAGTAGAAAGAGAGGGTTTACGATTAAATTGAACAAAAAGAAATTTTTGCAATGAAGAATAGGTTTATGGCATATTGACCATATGCGCATCTTAGTTAAGATGTGTGGTGTGTGTGTATTTAATTATGGTAAAGCACACTAGGGCTAATATAAGCACACTAGGGCTGCCTAAGGAGAGGGATACCTTCATGGAGGACTTTCTAAGGGTAGATTGGCTCGTATATACATTATATATGGAGAAAACCACAAAAACACCCATGCAGCCAGCCCGTTCGCGGGATTCGAACCTTGGACCGAACTACCAGTGTTCAGCGACTTTACCGCTCGGCCGCTGTTGGGCCATACAAAATGAGGTAGAAAAAAAAAAGGTGAAGTAATCAGCTCATGCTATAAGTCTAACCCTATGGGGGGTGTGCTTCATGATGGTTTGAGAAAATCTATCAACAGAAGAAAGGATTTTGTTTTCTAGATGAATATGCGTTGTAAATGCCTATCTCATTATAAAAGGATCCATCGTTCAATGTCAATCAAAGATTTTAGGAGATACATTGCAGTAACCTATTTGAAGAAAGGAGCCGACTCAAAGCAATCCTAGGAAGACCAGTACAAAGGAGGATAACATGCAGATCGAACGTGCTTCCTGACATAAAATTCGACAAAAATACAGCATGTTATTGGTAAAAGAGATAAACAAAGGTGTTGCCAATATGACAGTTGTGCCTCAAAGCCAAGAACATATTGCATGAAATGCAATGTAACATTGTGCATTCATGCTTTCCTCTTTTCCATAAAAAAAATCTATCTTAAAAATGTAAAAAAAAAAAAAGTTTTCTACACGTCTTTTAAAATAAATTTGATTTTTAACATTATTTGTCTATTAGTTTGTTTATATATTAAAACTAAATCATTTTATGTAAAAATTTTGATTTTTAAAAAATTTTACATTTTTATATACAAACGCCCAGTGTCCTCAAAATGAGGACGGCTTAAAAAATATGGTTGCAGTTAAAATTTTCAAAATGCTTTTGAAACTTTTAATTTATGCATTTCTAACAATGTCTATCAATTTCAATGGCAAAATTTCAAGAATTGTTAATTTGGGCGTTAATGGGTTAAGGGTAGATAGACTGCAAACTTTTTTTTAACCCAACAAGAGTGAAAAAAAGTTTGAGAACTTCTGTTATATAACCAATGCTATAATATGCTAGAATGTATTGATACATTCTACAATAATTAAGAAATATTAATAATGATAATGAATAATCTATAATAATCTTGCTAACAATATGAAAAAATTAAAAATTTGCATGTATATTGAAATGTTCAGGGGAAAAAAAAGGGTTATTTTTCAAGTTGAACAACTGAAATAAAGGGATGGTTTTTCTTATTTATATATTTTATTCAATAAGAATTTTGTAAAAAATTGAAGCATTATTATTTTTTAATATAGATAATATTTTAAACAACTAGTGATTGATGCTAAATTGAATTTATGCAGCAATAACAGTATAATATTTTTTATTATAACATCATAAAAGCTAAAATATGTGTATCCCATTTTTAAGCTGAAATTTCAATTAGACGTCCTTTAATCTTTTTTGAGTTGGCCATTTGCAAGTCATATAGCCCTACTTTATAGTACTATAATCTATTATAACCAATATATCATATATTAAAAATGTATAAATCACACAATTTTTGTTGTAATAGTTAATTAAAATTACTAAACCTGAATTTGCAACTATGTGCTATGTTAAACTTATTTTCAACTTGTAAATACTTGTTTTATGTTTAAATACATACCACATCCTTTAATTTTCCTTCAATTTCATCTGATGTCAATTTTTTGCTAAGAGGTGTTTTTCTCAGCAGCATATCACAATAATTAGCCAACAGTTCTGGGCAACGAGATTCTGGCTCAGTTTTACCTCTATACAAAAGAAAATATTAACATTCAGAATCTAATTAACAAAAAGTCATTTTCCAAGAAAATGAGCAGGATTATTTTGAAAAAGATCATGTAATTTTTCAAATTATTGAATAAAAGTATTTATTGATGTACTTTATATGAAAGCTTGAAATAAACTTACGTTCTCTTTTTTGTAGGTAATTCTAAGCTGAAAACTGATATATCATTGACGATTTTCTTGAAGGCCTGTCAAGTGAATAATGAAATATTAAATAAACAGAAAAGGTAAAATACTACGTTTTCTGAAAGGTTATACATAATGGTATTTCAATAAAACTGAAAATTCTCATTCAAATTATGTAACAGAATGATATTTCTCTTTAATGTACAACACTCCCACAGCAAAAACAACTGTTATTGAAAGTTTACATGTTAATATCAGATAAGTGAAATAATTTAAAATTACGAAATGTATTCAAGAAATGTAAAAAATGTCATTAATATTAATTAAGAAACTACAGCATTATGGAATTTCAGAAGAAAATATACAAAACGAGAAGTAAAATGCTTCGGTTTCCTTCTGATCAATTAAGGGGAGAGGTAATACAGAACTCTTTTACAAAAGATATCTATTTTTAATTATAATTTTTTAAATGAAAAGTTTTGAATTTAAATCAGACATGTTAAGAAGTTAAATCAGACAATTATTAGTTTTCCACTATGTAAACAATTTTGCTACAGCTACCTAATTTAATTATAGAGAAGTTCAGTTGAAGGTGAGGGTTAAATTTTATTTATATTCATAATGCTCAGGTATGACTGATGATTGTTGCAGTAATGCTTTCTTAAACTCTGAATTTCTTACATGGTGGTTTCAAATTATCCTCTTCGATATAAAATAGTCCAAATTGATGGGTCTTGATTTGCGCTAGAGTCATTATCATCTTAAGGTATAGACACTATCCCATATTTTTGCAAATTTATAGCTATTCTCAGAGGAGTTTGTACAGATAATGTTCCAGAAATGCTATGAAATCCATCTATGATTCTGTAAAGAAGATTAGGGCTAGAATCTCTGTGTTTAACTGCAGAAAATTTGACTCAAATAAAAGCAACTAGAGAGGAAACTGATGATGTAAAAATGGACAGCAATTATTATTAGAGTTCAAGAGTTCAGAATCAATTAGTTTGCAGTGTCTTCCATCTATGTGTGGAGTAAAATTGAACACTTTGATAATTGTTTGATCACTATACTGTTAGTTTAGACAGATTTTTGACTCATAATTTATTAACAGGCAAGCTTTTCAAGTATTTTGTTATTTGATCATTAAATAAGGCAGTAATTGCTGTAGTTAGTTGTAGCAAATATTTTGCAGTTTGATGCTGTTGGCTAATGTAATATTGCTAACTATGAGCAAGCTTTATGTTTCAACAGGGGAGAGGGAAATATATCTCAGATGTTTCTAGAGTAAACGAATGCTGATTCCCAGGAGTTTCCTTACCATACTCAAGTGTCAAGTTTTGCAATACTTTTTCATTCTGAAGTATGAAATAAAATCAATTTCAGATTAACTGAGTTTTGCCTTAAAAAATAAGTTTCTTGACTCCAGAATGATGGAAGAATTAATATTACAAAGTGTCAACCTAAAAAAAAAAAAAAAAAAAAAAAAAAAAAAAAAAAAAGAAAGAAAGAAAGAAAGAATAAAGAATAATATCCTTATGGATTATAATTTGATTGCATGCAGATTTGAAAGTAAATTTGTACAGTGTACTAACAAATATAAAAGGCAATGAAAAAGGGGAGAGGGCAGTAGAAAAAGAGAAATGAAACACAAAATGGCAAAATTTAATAATTGATGCCATTAAAGCAGTTAATTTCTTCTAATCTGCAACAATTTATTACAAATAACATAAATTACAAATTTTTATATTTATATACCTCTCTGTGCATGTATGTTAATGCGTGTATATGTTATGGTGAAACACCGAAATCTGGAGAATGTCAACATTCACATAGTCGCTTGGTGTATGTCCGAAATATTTTCCAAATACTCTTATTTCTGACTTACACCGGTGATGTCAGCATTCACCATGTACTAATGATGAATGTTGAACATATAAGAATATATATTTCTCGTAATTCATTCGCAAAAAAACGCACTTGAGACTCAGAATAAGAACTTAAGAACATAAAACACACAGTACATTCAAAATGAGAAAAGAAATAATAGAAGTTATAAAACTTACCAAAATTATGTGATTCAAATCTTATTTATTGCAACAACTTAAACTATTATGACACTTTGAATTGCACAAGAGGCCCTTGCTTTTACAACCGCATTTATTTGTGGAACACTTCCTTTTGGAATGGCAGCATGTATATATACTCCTCTCTTTTCGACCTACACCAGAGCATATCTGGGATTGTCGACATACACCAGTGACGGTCCGAATGTACAAGAATGTAAAGAAATATTCGATCTTTCACCGCCATATTTGGTGAATGTTGACATTCTCCGGTGAAAGTCGACATTTTCCAATTTCGGTCTTTCCACAGTAACATATACACACATTTACACAACTAAATATGATTTTAATTCAGTGTCAATAATTTTAGTCATATGATAAAATCACTTATTTAAAGCATATTTGATTATGGCAAAGCACTTGAGGGCTATCTGCCTAAGGGGAGGGATGCCTAGGTGGAGGACTTTTTAAGGGAACTGGCTCGTATACATATTATGCATGGGGAAAATCGCAAAAATGCGTATGCAGCCAGCCCATTCATGAGATTCAAACCTCGGATCTAACTAGCAGTGTTAAATGACTTTATCACTCAGCTGCTGCCCTATCACTCATTTAAATCAGGATTTTAATCAACTGATACATTTTTTAAATCATTGATCATATTATTACAATTTTTTATTAGTTCAATTTGTACATTATTCACAGCTGAAACAATATTAGCTGATATGAAATAAATGGTTCACAATTGGATCTGGTTTGTAGAAAATGAAAGAAAAATTTAATTTCAAAAAGGCTTCAGAATTTCTATTCCAGTCAGATAACTATACTGAAACAGCAGCCATTGGTACTGGATATTTGAATCAGAAGCATAATAAAATGTAATGAATATGAAAAGTAAAAGTTATATGGACTTCCATCTGATAATCAGTTTTAGTTTTCAGGTATTGGGGAAAATTAATTATCTGTTTAATGGAATATTAATCAAACTTATGGCACAACAAAATTTAATAATGATATAATTAAAAGCTCCTTTATGAATTAATTTGAATTTAGTGATGCATTAAAGCTTTAATCACATTAAAAATAAGCTTTAACTGCATAAAGGTAATTTAAATTAAAACTTGATTTAAATCAAAATTCTTAATTTTGTGTATTTTTCCCACCATCCCTTTTCTGTTATTCACAATTTGTATACATCCTATTTTAATTATAATCATCAATATGAGCATTACCTTATCTCTTGATGCTAGGAATCTAGGATCATTAATAAATGATTCTTTGACTAGTTTACTGAATCTTCTAAATAATTCTAATAACTGCGCCACATATTTTTCAGAATCCTGTAAGAAGCAATAAAAACAGATAAAATAAATTAAAATGGCTATTAAAGAGATGAATTTCATTTAAGAGTTAAGTTTTCCATACTTACAAACATTTTAACTAGTTAACTGTGGTTGACGAGTATACTCGTCATGGAGAAGCGGCACAATTTTGTGTATTGACGAGTATACTCATCATTCGTATAAAGCAGTGTAAGCAATGCACATATAAAGCAATGTAATAGAAACAGGGAAAAGAAAAATAATAGCAAAGAAACCAGAGCTAGTGATTGATTATAATAAAAAAATGGTTGGAGTAGATATGAGCAATGGAATTATCATAGCGTATTCCATAGCAAGAAAACGACTCAGAAAAAGTCAACTACAAAAAGATATTTCTCCATTTCTTAGACATTATGATTCTGAATGCATTCATATTATATAATAAAAATAATAATACATTATCGCGTATCGACTTTTTGCTCAAATTTATTGAAGACACGTTTGCGACGTATCCAATCGAAAGAAATAAATCAACACAAACTCGGCCATTTAAACCTAATATAAGCCAGTTAGGTGGGAATCATGTTCTGGATTATATACCCGGAACACTGAAAAAACAACCCTATGCAAAGGTGTTCACATTGCTACAAACATTAAGATCAGGAAGGAATCGCGTTATTGGTGTTCGATTTGCAAAGTCTCATTGTGTATAGTACCCTGTTTGCTGAATATCACTCCACAGCAGAAATTTAAATTCTACTTTTATATGTATAATATTTAATTTAATTTATTGCATTTTTAGTTTAATATGTATGTAATATATGCTTATGTTAACCAAATAAGTAAATATTAGTAATAAAATTTTCAATTTTATAAAATAAACCCATCTTTTTCATCCAATATCTTACCAGCACAACTTACTTTGTTATTGACAAATATACTCGTCATGGCTCGATTCTGGCGATACAAAATGATGAGCACTCTTAAACAAGAG